AGCCATATATTCCCCATGGGATCTCCATAACCATCCTGAAGCTGCTGTCCCCCAGGCAGAAGGGCAGGAGAACAGTGTCCCAGAGACCCATCAGCAGAAAAGCTTCTCCTGACAGCTCACCAGAGACCGTACAGAAGCAGAGAGCTGGCTGCACTGCCTTCAGCACAGCTCTGGAAGGCAGCAACTTGCGGACACTCACTTGAGGATGGCTCCTCCTTCTTATGTCTAACCCTGGGAATAAGCTCTGACTTCCCCTTCTCCCTCCTGGGATGCTCCAGGTTCTGCAGCCGCACAATTCATCAGGAAACGCAGGAACAAGTCCCAGAGAAAGAAAAACTGCCAGTGGTGGTGTTTGCTGGTTACTGCCAGGCTTTCCTCTTTGTGTGGTATGTATTGTGGCTCACATCACAGAAACTCAAGTGAAATAAAGAAATGAGTCTCCTTAAGAAGCCTCCAGGCAATGGGGAAATGACTGCTCAGTGACCTGTGCAGCATCCGGGGTACACAGGGAGTTTCCTGTAATGATAAAACTACAAAGGAATATTTATCTATCTAGATACTTATTCAGCTTTCATCTCTGGCAGCGTTTCTCAATCAGACATTTCAAAATGCTTTGCCAACACAAATTAACCCTCACAGCACCTCTGTGGTAGGGATCAGCATCCCCACGTCACAGGTGGGGTGACTGAATGGAGAAGACAAGTAATCCTTTCAAGAACAAAATGAAGGGAGCAAAGAAAGGATATTTCGAAATCCCAATCCCACGTCATAACAAAACGACCCCTATGAGCCCCCACATCTGCAGACAACCTTCTGTCAGAAACCTAAGTGGCAACCTGCCATTCTTCTCATGCAAACTGCCTGTGGTCCCCAGCTGTGCACCGAGGAAGCACTGCTTGGGCTTTCAATAAGCCCCCAAAATACGGTGCCCTGAAGCACCATTGGACAACACAGAAATCCCTAACAAGCTGCAGCCTGGTGGCATATGCCACCAAGCAGACTGTCCCATCGTGTTGTACATGATATTTATTTCATTCATTAACCAAGTTAATGGAGGCTAAGAATAGACCCCAGATGTCTTTCTGGCCTGAAAAACTTCTTTACCCTCAAGGAAATGCAAAGTCTAAGTGTCTTCTGGCATGTGTGAGGCACAAACAATGAACCAAAGCTATGAAGACCTTTCACATTTCCAAGAATTCACAGAATACATCTCTGCTTTTAAATAATCTGTGTTCCAGTTTTGGGAAATAAATGTTTAGCAAGGATTACACAGAACAGAGCAATGGATATATAATTGTATCATTCATTGATATAGCGATTATGCCAGACAGAGCCATAGCTGTTCAAACATCTTAGTTTTCTGTTATTTTTTTCTGTGATATTATCACTGCTGCAAATTCACAGTTCTGTAAATAAACTGGTATTTCTGAACAAAGACCATTTGATATTATGCCTGTAGAAAAATGCATCTTAAGTACAATTTATTCCTGAATTATTTTTTTGATAATGGAAATTACTCTATAGTCTCATTTTTTATACATAACCCCCAATACATTTGGGAAATATCACAAAACATACTAAAGATAGCACTATGGTTTTCTGTGTCACTGCTAAAAATCAAAGCACTCATGCAGAATAAAGAGAAATTTCTTTCTGTATAAGCATTTTCCTTCTGTTGACTGAATCCAGGCTCTTGAGAATCGGCAATTACAGAAAAGAACTATAACAATCAAACGGGAGTTTGCACTTACAGAAAATCATGCTATTTATTGCATGACTTATTCAGACGGAGAAAGCTGTTTGGAAACCTACTGGTAAATGAAAAAAAACCCTGCTATTTCAGAAAACTGAAATTGTATTAGTAGAGAGTCTAAAGAACCTAGAGAAGAATACATTCCATTTGGAACTTATTTGGTCTTCTCAGAAACAGGAAAGAGAAAATGTTGGCATTTAAAGCTCTTTTCCTCCCTTAAAATGCCTTACTTTTTTCAACTCTTATTTTATCAAGTCATCTTCAGATTTACATGATATTATGGAACATAATATTTGGGATTCGATAGCAGTATTGGCTTTGAGAACCTCCGGTAAATGGCAGTTCATTCGCCCATACCACAGTCTCCAAACTGTGACCATTGGGTCTTTACAGACAGAAAGACCAAGGCAGAGGCGATGAAACGATAGCTCAAAGTCACACAGCGACTAAAAACCACAGTCATTTCCACACTCAGGGGCTCCGGATCCCTTTTCCTCCACCCACCACTTTGCTTGCAGAAATGGGGTTAAATACCCAATAACCAAGCCATGCGGACTGAATGAAATAATGAATAAAGCACCCAGCAAGCCAGGGAGACCTCTTACACCACAGAGGTTTTCTTCCTTTTCCATCCAGAGTTCTGGCTGGATCTTCAGCGAGCTGCCTGCTCGGGAGACCTGCCGGTGTGCCTGCGCTGCAGGCATGCGGGTGAGCTGGTGAAGCCTCTCGCGGTGGCCGGGCTCCGGGAGGACCCCCCCTGGCCCAGCCCCACTCCGTCTGGGCGGGGACCCCTCTCT